ACCAAGCGGGTGTGATAGACATGTATGTGTATATGCGTGTATGAGAGTGTGCAAAAGTTAAAAGAGGACCAAAGAAGCGAAGGCGCCTTGTTGGCAGCGTTCCTATTTACGTGCGACTACATCTGAAAGCCAGAGCTAAAAGGACGAAAAAGAGAGCGAGGGTGAATATCAGTGCCTATTTATATGCTTAAAGAGCGTACCCTAGCAAAGTCAAGTGCGATAGCCCATAATCTAATGAATTCCACATTCATTAAAAGAGAAAGCAACTTACTTAGACGGAAAATTATCGAGAGTTTGCGCGACCGAATTTTATCAAAATATAATTCTCCGTCCTGGATTTTTTCAAACATCACCATTACCAAAAGAATGACTACTTTCTGAAGCCAACATACATGACTATAAAAATCTTTAAAAAAATAAATAAAAGAAAACGGTTAAATACATTACATTCTTTTATTTAAAAAAAAAAATATAATACATAAATTTATCCTACACTAAAATAATTTAAATATTAACTGCATAAAAATTTCAACAACTTCACCATTTACTCACTTTCGTTTATTAGACATTAAATTACGTCATTTTTTTTTAATCGGAATTAGTAATGCCACTAAAGCACAAGGGGTTAAAGGGTATGAAAGAATTACAAACAGGTACATTAATGATAAGCAGAAAGAGAAGGGAGTAATCACGCGGACAGTAGATAACGATTGACATTGAATTTAAATTTTTTCAGATTAAATTTGGTTAGAAATCATGGAGCCGGAAGGGAGTTCCACAAGCGAAAAGTCCGAGAGAAGAAAATGTTAGCATAGAATTTATGGCTATATCTCGCCATCCCACCTGTAAATTGATAAGATCTTGATGCCAGTCTAGTGCTGCGCTTAAATTTCAAAACTCTAGTTACCATATTGAAGAGCTCATTCGAACAATTAACATGACAGTATTTATAGAAAAGACATAGCCAATCTTATGGCGTTGGGAAAGTAACGGGAGCTGAGCCGCCAGATCGGGAACAATAATTGCTGTGACCAAATAAATGGTTAAGTAATAACAAAAACCAGGTTTGCTGACATATCGTATATTAAACAGTAAGTACACCAGAAGAGTATTACACGATTAGTGAGAGTGTATCGAATGAATTAGCGCTCAATCTATTAGTGTTCACTGTTCCCCGAAACTTCTGTCCTACTAATCTTATAGTAGGCAGAAGAGTCTAACATAGACTCTTTGGAGAGAGGACACCAAAACAATAATATAGCAGATTCTTCTTAGCCTCTTCCATAATTTACCTAGACTTTTCTGTTAACCTGTTGAATATTTATGAGCGTCTCTTAAATTTAAACGTTTTTGCTTTTGTTTATAAATATTTATGGAAAATAAGATTCTTATATTGGTTTTGATAATGTCCAGCAGAGGGTGAAACGCGTTTGCTAATATAAATTTTCCTATTGTCTTTATTAACCTTGTCCTTTTACACATATATTTTTGTTATATCTGAAAATTTCACACACACACACACACACACACACACACACACACACACACACACACACACACACACACACACACACACATTGTATTTTCAGGCAGTAATCCCTCTTTTTACATGTTTCTTTAAGGACGACTGACAAGGTACTGCGATTAATACTACCAATCTGTATACATATATGGAAATATAAAAAATGCACAAATCATTTCCCAGATCCCAAACCTTATCTACGAGCAATCCAAATTCTTTAATGATATCATTATCCCATAACTAATCACCAATTTCAGCATCACATCCACCCACGAATTCCTCCAAATTTTAAAAAGTATAAAACCAACCCAAAGTATTTTTTAAGCGTCACACGACGTTGAAAATTTATTAACAAACGTCCCCGTTGATCAAGCCATTGAGATTATCCTTAATTCCGTGTACACAAATATTTCTATTCAACCTCCATCCATCAAACCAAATATCCTCAAAAATATTACATGTATGCACATCTAAATTCCCTTTCTACAACCATAATGGCAACATTTACACCCAAAATAACGGTATTAGTATGGGAAATCCGCTCGGGCCGTGCTTCTCCAATTACTACATGTCCCACGGTGGAGTAATGGATAGCGGTTCGGATTGAGAAACTTATTTTTGCAAAAAACAAAAAACAAAAAAAAAACAAAAATAATCTCAAAACCACATTTGAAAAAAAACCCCTGTCCTTAACTTAACTTACGAACTAAGCCAAAAAAATAAACTCGCATTCTTAGACGTTCTCGTAGAATACAGGAAAAACAAATTCACCACCTCAATGTATAAAACCCCGCTAGCAGGAAATCTTCTCACCTTAATTTTAAGTATGGTGCCCACTTAGATGCAAAATAGAAGTGAAAAAGATATTTCCTAAAAAAGGGCACACGAGAATTCATCCACGAGTTTACTTTTCCTTAAACAATTCAACAATGCAAAACAGACAGTAGTTAATAATGGTTTTTCTGTCTCATAGATCACCAAATTAGACTATTTCTTTCCAAAGTAAATGATAACAACGAAAAAGATAATAACACAGACAAAACAATAACATAAAAATCTTCTATAAAAGCCAAATACGCATCAACTATAAGCAAGATGAATCTTCATGTAGAAATATAATAAATAAATAAACTACCCCAGTTGACTCGAACAAAATAATAAATTATTTATTACAAAAACTTTAAAAGTGCTAACATTATCCTAAAAAAAATAACAACACAGTTGCAAAATCAAAACTACAAAGAACCAATATTATTCAAATGCATCTTAAGAAACTGTTTTCCTGATCAAAGCAAACTCATAAATAATTACATCGGTCATACTACTATATGCCTATCCAGATGACTTATATTATATCTATCCGACCACAGCTCTATTAGAACTCATTTAAACACACACACAAACCTACTAGACTATCCGAAACATACTAGTAGAAAATACAAGCATAATGATTTCATCCACCTGCAAAAAGAAAAAAATAATAATGGAAGCCTTAATAATAAAAAAGAAAAAACCAACACTCAATAATATTAACTACGAACACGGCCACAATGTGCTCACCGTGTTTGGAAAACAAAACATTCCTATAACTCTAGATACATAAACACAATCCATACATTCAGTTAAAAATGAAAATAAAAATATCCTTGTTAATGGCTAAAAGCATAGACGAAAGGGCACGGAATTGCAGAACATTTGAATAATTTTTATACACTTTGTATCTACATAAGAAAATATTTGCACGAACACAAGAAAACTTAAATAAAAAGCTCAATTGCAGTAATTTGTCAGTCGTCTTTAACGAAACATGTATATACGCACACATACACTCACACGTATATATATATGTATGTATGTAAAAGAAACAAAAAGTCTTGTAATTAAATGTATTGTCATTTTGTTGATCTTTTGTTAAGATAAATCATTTAGGCAAACATGAATTTCCGTAAACAAAATTGACTTTGGGTTGATCGACAAACTTTAAAAGAAAGCCATGTTTAGCGTAAACAAGTTCAGAGAATTTTAGGCGTTCAAACATTTGTTTATTTCTTTTTCTTTTTTCTTTAATGATTGTCTCTTTAAGTGGTGACGAGGAAGTTCCGGGATTAAAATTAATGTCGAAATAAGAAAGATGAATAATGAATGAAATAAGAAAGAAGAAATGGGAGTAGAAGAAGAAGAAGAAAAGCAAAGCGACACGAAAATGAAGAAAGGAACCAAGGAAGGTGTAATAAGTAAAAAAAAAAAAAAATAAAAATAAAAAAATAGAAAAAAAAGGTGAACAAAAAATACTGAAAAATGTACGAAAAACGGAAAAATGAAATGAAAAATTAAAATGTGAAGGAAATAAACATTGATGCTTTTTTTATGAAGGGAAATTATAAAGATGAAAAAGTAATGAGGGAAATGAAGAAATAAAGAACAAAGAAAGACAAAGAAAGACAAAGAAAGAAAAGAAGACAAAAGAAAGAATGATGAAAGAAAGTCAAAAGAGAGAGAATTGAAAAAGAAAGAACGAATGAAAAAAATGATTTAAGTAAAAGAAAATATAAGACAGAAAAAACAATGGAAAAGAAAAAAAAAGACGAAAGAAAAAGAAAAAAGAAAGAAATATGATAAAGTAATAAGGGAAATGAAAAAGGAAAGAAAAATGAAAGAGAAAAGAAAGAATGATTAAAAGGCAAAAAGGTAGAAAAAATGAAAAAGAATATGAAAAATTAATGTGGGAAATGAAAAAAGAAAGAAGAAAAGAAAGTCAAAAGAAAGAAAAGAGGACAAAAGTGATAAAAATGAAAAGTAAGGACGTATGAAAGAAAAAGAACTTAAACAGAAAAAGTAAAAGAAAAGAAAGAAGGTAAAAGAAAGAAAAATAGAAAAGGAAAAAAAAATGAAACACTAATGAGGGAAATACATAAATAAAAAACCGAAAGACACAAGAAAAAAAAGAAAGTATGAAAGAAAGACAAAAGAAAGAATAAAGACACAATGAAAGAAAGAAGGAAAAAAAGAGGGAAAAAATGAAAATGAAAGATTGAATAAAAGAAAAAGAACTTAAGGAAAAGAATAACAATAAAAATGATGAAGGACGAGAAACAGAAAGACGACGAAAGAAAGATACGGAAAAAGATATATGAAAAAAATGAGCGGAAGAAAAGAAAGAAAAATAAACAAAAGAAAGAATGAAAAAAAAAGGAGACAAAAGAGAAAATAAAAGGCAAAAGAAAGAAAAATTAAAAGAAAGAAAGAATGAATTAAAGAAAAAGAACTTGCGAAAAAGATAAAGTAAGGCAAAAGAAAGACGAATTTGAAAAATTAATGAAAAAAAGAAACAAAAAAGAAAGACAAAAGGAAGACAAAAATGCGAAAAATGAAAAAGAGAGGAGAAAATGAAAAAAAAAAAAGAGTTTAAGAGAAAGTAAAAGTAAGATCCAGGAAAGAATGACAAAGAAAGAAAGAAATGAAAGACTATTGAGGGGAATTAAGAAAGAAAGAAAAGAGAAAAAAGGTAAGGAAGAAAGGAAAGAAGACAAAGAAAGAAGGAAGAGAGAAAAAGAACTTAAGAAAAAGAAAACGTAAGACAAAAGAAAAAGAAAGAAAACCGAAACAATGAAAAAGAAAACATAAATATGAAAAAGTAATGAGAAGAATGAAGAAAGGAAGAAAACGTAAAGAAAGAAAGACAAAAGAAGGAATGAAGAAAGAAAGAAAGAAAAAAGATAGAAAAAAAGAAAAACAAAGAACGAATAAAATACGAAGAAGATAAAGTAAGACAAAAGAAAGAAAGGGGAAACTAAAGAAAAGAAAAAGAAATATTCCAAAGTAATGAGGAAAACAAATAAGAAAAGAAAATACAAAGTCACAAGAAAAAAAGAAAGAAAGAAAAACAAAAGAATGGAAAAGAAAAACGAAATATTAGAAAGTAGCGATTGGAATAAAGAACGACAGAAAGAGAAAAGAAAGCCAAAATAATGAATGAAAGAAAGAAAAAGAGAAGAAAGAAGAAAGAAAAAAGAAAAAAAGAAGGAATATGAAAACGTAATGAGAGGAATGAAAAAAGAAAGACAACGAAAAGAATGGTAAAAAGAAAGAAAATGACTGGGAAGGCAAAGACGGTAATTAGCGATACAAAATAAATGATTTCCAACACCAGCGTCTACAAGGAAATCTAAGAAAGGTAAAAATAAAAACTGAACATAATTTAATAAAATAAAACCTCAAGAAAGACCTAACATTTTTGCTTGTTTTATTTCTTCTTTAAAAATTAAGGAAGAAAAAGAATAAAAATAAGGGAAGGAAAATAATAAAATGAAAGAAAGAAAGAGCAAAATGAAGAGTAAGAAAAGAAGAAAAGAATGCGGGAAATAGCAAATATTGAAGACTAAAAAGAAAAGAAGCGCATAAAAAGAAAGAAAGAAAAAGTAAAAACAAAGAAAGAAAAATATAAGAAGAACATTAAGTAAAGAAACAGAGAATAAAGAAAGAAAGGTACAAAAAGGTAACTAACGAACATCGAAAAAAAGGAAGAAAAACGAGAATTAAGAAGAAATAAAACAAACAAAAATGTCAGGAAGAATAAAAAAGAGTAAATATTAAGTAAGAAAGAAAAGAAAGTTGGTGATTACATGAGAATCGGTGAGTAAACGAAAGAAGAAAACGATAGAAAAAGAAAGATAAGAAATCTGAACAAAGGAACGAAGAAAAAGAAAACAAAATGACGAAAATAAAAGGAAAGAGGAAAAGAATAATAAAGAAAAAGAAGGAAAAAAAAAGTAAAAGAAAAAAGACGTCAGAATTTACAAAACTAATAATCGTCAATTCATTATTTTATGAAATGTCAATGATAGTTGTTTTATTCAATGTCAAGTTTTGTATGAGAAAGTTAATGAGGATCGAACTCTCTAGTATTGTTAAACGAATTAGTTCCACACCGACACGATTAGAAGATGATTATAAATACAGACAAAAATTCCTAATCGCAGTGGTCAGAAAGTGAACATTATATCCATTCGGCCTCGTGTATTTGAAAGGAAATACGAATAATCTAGAACCTATACTGGCAGTAAACCACCACGAACTCAGTAAATGTACAAAAATAGAAAGGGGTGTAAGACAAGGATGTGTCATCTCACCGGACTTATTTAACCTTTACAGGGAGGCGATTCTGAGACTATCAGAACTCCTACCAGGATTTATTACTGGCGGTCACAATCTTAGCAACATAAGATATGCAGATGAAACAGTGTTGATATCAGACCGAGAAAGGAAACTGCAAGAACTCCTAGAGAAGGTAGTGGAGGAAAGTTAGAAAGAACTACACATCAATTGCAAGAAGACAGAATGCATGGTTGTTAGCAAAAGGAATAGCCCAACATGTAAATTACAAATTGGAGATACCAAAATCAAACAAGTACAACAATTTAAATATCTGGGAAGTGTTTTAACAGAGGACGGAAAGTGCAACATCGAAATCCGAAGGCGTATTGGGAGAGCGAAAGATGACTTCTAAACGCTAAGTATTAAGAAAAAAGAAAATTTTGTTAGAAATAAAGGAAAGTTATGTAATATCAGTCGTCCTATATGGCAATAAATGCTGGAAATATCCTCAGGGATGAAGAAAATTCTTGAAGATACATAAAATATGGCTCAACAGAAGAATGTTAAAAATACTATGGACCGAACTTAATCAGCAATGACGAAGTTTTAAAGAAAATGGGAACAAAAGTGACACTAATACTTAACATCAGGAAAAGACAGAAATAGTAGGAAAGTTTTACCTATTAAGTAAAGTCTTGGTATAATGTTATCACTGATGACAGTGTGACTTTTAGATGCCACTATCATTTCTAATTTATTTATTTGAAAACGAAAAGCACATAAAACATTCTTATGAACGTTTCCTATTTCAAAAGCAAACGATGTTTACACGTATGCGTTTCCTTAGAGAAAATCGTCAATCGTTAAAAATGCTGACAACGTTAATTATCCTTGAAAGTTTGCAAAAGCTTAGCCAATTATTAATAAACAAGAAAAATCCCGTTAGAAACAAAGAAAAGGGTACAAACCGTCATGAAATATCAATCCGTCGATGTGGTAGGGAATGTTGCAGAATCTTCTCACAGATGAAGAAGAGACTTATAGCAACAGAAACATGCTGAGAGTGCCATCGACCGAACATGTGAGCAACGAGGAAGTTTTAAAGAAAATGGAAACACAAAGGGTGCATACTTAACATGAGGAAGAGACAATCGAAATTAATAGGAAATGAGGAAAGAGGACTTGAAAAATTTGATACTCACAGGACATACTGACGGTAAGATGTAAAAAGGAAAACAACGCACAACCTACCTAGCGAGCTTGAGTAAATGGATGGCGGAACAAGGTATAGGAGAGATAACCAAACGACGAAATAAGAGCTACAAGGGACAGGAAATTGTGGAGAGTCATAGTCGCCAACACCATGAAGAGACATAGTATAATCATTGAGACCGGTATTAATTCATTTTTAACTGTCAGCTCTGCCAATAGCGATTTACTGAGCGTTCCTTCGATATGGCAAGAAGCCATAAGTATGAAATACTCAAGGAAAATCGAACTCACTACTGCCTGTATACTGAATTTGAAATAGAGTTTCACGAGCTACTCCCATAATGAAGTAGAAAAGTTTTCATTTTTTAATGTACTGTGTTCTTTAAAGACGTGGGCGAACACGCCTCTCTAGAACTCCAGTGAAATAGACTCTGTCGTGATTTCTCTATCATGATTCAACCTTCACTTGGTTACAAACTGAATTTGACACTGTCCTGGCGAGGAAATGAAATCAATATTCACTTGATGATGAAATGAATTTGACAGTCTTTTGTTGACAAAGTCAATTCGCCTCATCCCTTCTTGACTAATTGAATTCAACCCTCACTTGGTGATGAAGTGAATTAAATCTTCTGTTTGTAATGAAGAATGAAAACAAAAGAACAAAAAAAAAAGCCAAAAAAAAAAAGAACAAAGAAAAAAAAAAACAACCGATGTAGACGAGAGACGAAAAGGTTTCTAGATTTCAATAGAAAATCTTAAATCGTTTTGATTGTTAACACATGCTCGTCTCCAATCCGATATTCTCTAGGTATCCAATTAATATTGCATTGTGATAAAATAATTATATTTAAGCACTTGGAAGGTGAACAATTCTCTTAGACTATTATTGCTCTACAGAGTAAACTAGGCATCACACACTTGTAACTTCGTCTCAGCCCAAGTTACACTTACTATACTATTTATTTCCAAATGACACTGAGAATCTGTGCTAATACCGAAGTAAAAAAAAAAGTCCAGGATTCTGAATAGTGATTTTCATGATAAAGAAAATAAGCACTTCCTATTGGCCAGATTTAGCAAAAATCCATCTTGAAAGTCTAAAATATTCTTGTCTGACGTTTTACCTTATTAAGTTAAAAAAAGAAAGAAAGAAAAATATAAGAAAAACATTAAGTAAAGAAAAAAGAAAGAAAGAAAGAAAGAAAGAAAGAAAGGAAGAAAGAAAAATATAAGAAAAACATTAAGTAAAGTAACAGGGAATAAAGAAAGAAAGAAAGAACGAAAGAAAGAAAGAATGAAATAAATAAATAAAGAAAGAAAGAAAGAAAGAAGTATATAAGAAAAGCATTAAGTAAAGAAAGAAAGAAAGAAAAAAAGAAAGAAAGAAAGAAAGAAAGGTACAAAAAGTAACTATCGGACATCGAAAAAAGAAGAAAAGCGAAACTTAGGAAGGGATGAAACAAGTAAAAATGCTAGGAAGAATAAAAAAGAGTAAATATTAAATAAGAAAGAAAAGGAAGTTGGTGATTCCATGAGAATCGATGAGTAAACGAAAGAAGAAGAAAAAGAAGCGAAAGAAGAAAACGATAGAAAAAGAAAGATAAGAAATCTGAACAAAGGAACGAAGAAAAAGAAAACAAAATGACGAAAATGAAAGGAAAGAAAGAAAAGAATAATAAAGAAAAAGAAGTTGGTGATTATATAGACAGTAATTTAGTTTGTCAACACAATACTGCTGCGGCAAGTTACAAACTAATATGGAGAAAGTTTGAAAGAATTACGAAAGAAATTTAAATAGATGAAGGAAATTAGAAAGATAAATAAAAAAGAAAACGATAATAATGAAGAGGTTTGAAAAGTAGAGAGTAAAAGAAAGTGAAGAAAACAAAGGCAAATAGAAGATAAAAGAAAGAAAGTATGTAAAGAAAAATAAAAAGTAGAGAAATACATAAAGAGAGGAAAGAGAAATAAAAAAGAAGAAAAATAAATAAACAGGTGGAAATAAAGAAACAAAGATCAGAATAGAATAATATTAAGAGAAAAAATACAAAAAAATAAATAAAAAGAAGACGTAAAAAGAAAACACGGAAAAAAGAAGAAAGAAAGAAAAAAAGAAAAGAAACATAGCGAAGAAATATGCAAAGAGAAGGAAAGAAATAAAGAACGTATAAACATTTTATTCTCTGACAAATTTAAGTTTTTGTGTCAAGCACGAAAACCTATCTAGTAGGAATAGCAAATGACAAACAAGATTCAACCACTGTGTAACATTTTAGTGAAAAAAAACATTTAATACACAATTATGAAAAAAGGGTATTAAATAGAAATTGTGCACAAAAATTTCATTTTGTGCGCCTCATAAGGCAGGGTAACAATTTCCGCTCAAAAGATTACCAGCGAAAAATGGAAAAAATTTACACTTTGGGAAAAGACAATGATTTTGAAAATGACGAAAAAGAAAGCAATTAAAAAGACAATGATTCTGAAAATGACGAAAAAGAAAGCAATTAAAAAGACAATGATTTTGAAAATGACGAAAAAGAAAGCAATTAAAAAGACAATGATTCTGAAAATGACGAAAAAGAAAGCAATTAAAAAGACAATGATTCTGAAAATGACGAAAAAGAAAGCAATTAAAAAGACAATGTTTCTGAAAATGACGAAAAAGAAAACAATTAAAAAGACAATGATTTTGAAAATGACGAAAAAGAAAGCAATTAAATAGACAATGATTCTGAAAATGACGAAAAGAAAGCAATTAAAAAAGACAATGATTCTGAAAATGACGAAAAGAAAGCAATTAAAAAGACAATGATTTTGAAAATGACGAAAAGAAAGCAATTAAAAAGACAATGATTCTGAAAATGACGAAAAAGAAAGCAATTAAAAAAGACAATGATTTTGAAAATGACGAAAAGAAAGCAATTAAAAAAGACAATGATTTTGAAAATGACGAAAAGAAAAGCAATTAAAAAGACAATGATTCTGAAAATGACGAAAAGAAAGCAATTAAAAAGACAATGATTCTGAAAATGACGAAAAAGAAAGCAATTAAAAGACAATGATTTTGAAAATGACGAAAAAGAAAGCAATTAAAAAGACAATGATTCTGAAAATGACGAAAAAGAAAGCAATTAAAAAGACAATGATTCTGAAAATGACGAAAAAGAAAGCAATTAAAAAGACAATGATTTTGAAAATGACGAAAAAGAAAGCAATTAAAAAGACAATGATTCTGAAAATGACGAAAAAGAAAGCAATTAAAAAGACAATGTTTCTGAAAATGACGAAAAAGAAAACAATTAAAAAGACAATGATTTTGAAAATGACGAAAAAGAAAGCAATTAAATAGACAATGATTCTGAAAATGACGAAAAAGAAAGCAATTAAAAAGACAATGTTTCTGAAAATGACGAAAAAGAAAACAATTAAAAAGACAATGATTTTGAAAATGACGAAAAAGAAAGCAATTAAATAGACAATGATTCTGAAAATGACGAAAAAGAAAGCAATTAAAAAGACATTATTTTGAAAATGACGAAAAAGAAAACAATAAAAAAAGCAGAAAAGCAAAGGTGCAACCACCTTTCAGAAAAAATGAAAAAAAAAAATAAAATAAAAAGCGAAAACACCTACTTTTACTTTTACTTCCCCCACGAACGTCTTTGGGATATATAGTAATGTTAGAAAAGTTCCTTATAAATTCGCACAGTTCGTGCTTGGGAAAAGTTCTTAGAATTCTTTTCGTTCATTATTGTCCAACAGCAGGAGAATTTTCACTTGAATTTCAAAATTCTTTAGTTTCTCTGCAGCTGGCTGGTAACTGATGCCTTTTTAATGTCCTCTTCTTGATGTTAAATGCCTTCTACTCCTTAATGTTCATTTGCCTTATTTGCTTGCTGTCAAAAAGTCTTCTTCACTTCATTTACTGACCCAAACCCAATTCATTCCTAAGCATCCCACATTTGGGTTCTTATTAAAGCTTGACAACAAGTCTACCATTGGGCAGTATATAAGAAAAAATAATTTTCCATAAACTGGAAATGGATCGTTCACAATTTTGATGGGTTCTAACCGCTAAGCCGAAAGAGATACACGTGTAACACTTCTTTTACCTAAAGTATCTGGCCTTCATAAAAATGCACTTCTCTTTAAAAGTGTGTGTTTAAAAAAATCAACCTACACGAGTAAACCTTTATTCAAAGGTCACATTTTAAGAGTAGTAAAAATAAAAAAGAGGAGGAAAAAATAAAGATAAAAAAGAAGTAAAGAAAGAAATAGAAGAAAAAGAAATAAAGAAGCGAATGAAGGATACAAAGAGAAGTAAAAAAGGAAATAGAGACAGTGAAAAATGATGAAAGAAAAAGAAATAAAGGAAAGAGAATTAAAAATAAAAAAAAAGAAGAAAAGAGTTGAAAAAGAAATAAATAGGAAAATACAAAAAGAAAAACAAAAGAAAGCTTTTAGAACAAAGATAAGAAAATCTAATGAAAAAAAAAACAAAAACAAAATGAATTATAGAGAATTACGAAAAAGAAAATAATGTAGAGACAATGCGGAAATAAATGAACAACCGGAAGAAAAAAATATAAAATAACGAATGGAAGAAGGAAAGCCGGACAATTAAAAAAGAAAAAGTGAAAAATTAAAGAAAAGGAAACTGAAAAAAAAATCATGTGAATTACTACGAAAAGAGTAAGAAGGTCGAAACTAATTCAAAGATGGCAGTTAAAACGAAGACTTAAGATATATTTTTTTTAAATTAATCAAAGCGGGACGCAAGCGGATGTCAGACATTGGAAACCAGCTGGTTGATGATTGGCCTGATCAGAAGTAAAAATATATATACTTTAATTTGACAACCACTCAGGATGTATTGTTTGTCGTCAATGGCAACTTCCGGTCACGAAGATGCGATGGACAGAAATGAACAAGTAGAACATAAATTGGCGGACGGTATTAATGCAATAATCAGTGGAGCGTTAGAACGCTTATGAGAACAAAATCAAGTTAATGAATCACAAGAAAGAAGAGAAAGGATTTATAAGGAAGAAAGAGGAAAAAAATGGGTTTATAAGGAAGAAAACAAACAAAGGGTTCAGATCATCAAGAGACCAGATTGGATCACATCGAGTAGCGGAAATTTCAGATTTAGATTAACGAATTTTTGACAAACTTTTCCAATATGAAATCATCGATAACTGAACATAATTTTGCATCAGCAAAATATTTGGTTACAACCCACCCTCAAAATGGAAATCTTTCTTATTTAAAATATTTACATTGTTCGGACTGTTGTCATCATCTTTATTGTCATATTCACGGCGTTTCGGCCGTTGTTCGCTCCGTCTTTCTTCAGGTGACCTACGTTAGAATTTCGAGTTTCTCCAATTTTTTGTTCCCCTCTGCTGGGTCAAGTCACTGGATTACTTCCACTGGATAAAAGAATTGAAATACTAAAAGGAAATAACTGAGATATGCCGAAAATTTATGGCACGCGGAACTAGAACAATCTACCCCAGTGGACTAAATAAAGGGTTCGATTCGAAATTCAAACGTTGAAAAAGGCAGGAGCGAACATCGGCTGAAACATCGTGAATATGACAATAAAGATGAAAACAACTGCCCGAACAATGTAAATAGTAACAATATCATATCTCAGAAATATAGACAGATGTTGAAGACACTCTTTCTGTTAATTAATCCTGAATGCTTTTCGCTAATTGCTCAATCTGATTGGTCGAATTTGAAACGGTCTTCTTGTATTGTCGTGTCCCTTCACAATGTAGACGATTATTTCTCTACAATTTCTGATCCTTTGTAGCTCTAAGCAAAGATTGATTCTTTACTATTCTTCTTTGTCCTTTTTCCGCCAGCCATTCACAGAAATTTGTCAGGTAAGTAACATCCTTTCTCTTGCCTTCAAGATATGTTAAGCTTTCCAAGCCGCCATTAAGGCTCTTTTGTTTTTGAAACCAGGTGATAATTACTACGTAGTCGTTCGTTATGCACGATTGGACTCATTTTGTTCCGCATCCAGCCTCGTTCCTTTTTTTTTTTTTTTTTTTTTTGCATTGAGGTCGGCCATGATGATAATAATTTTTTGGCGACTTGTATTGACTCATGGTGTTTCTATGCGGAAAATCTCAACTCATTCTTCTCTCCCATTTGTGACATCGGTGCATATACAACGACGATGGCCTTACTGAAGGGCTTCCCTTTCTGTCTCAAGAGATAAACGCTGCTTGCGCACCTAACGTAGCGGTTATCGACGCGGAGATGAAAATCGATTTGCCGAGTTGAAATTCCGAATCCGTTGCATTTCTTTTCGTTTAAGTAAACTTGGAGTAAAAAAATATGAGGCTAAATAGAAGATCATACTCAGCTTGCTAGCCTTGGTGGGCTACCAGTCTAGGCGAAAAAAAAACTGTAAAAGGGTGACATTGATAACTCTATACCGCAAAAGCGTACTTTTTACATAAACCACAGCAACAACACCCAGTGATGTAAGGTTGCGGTTTTATTTACTACTAGGAAGAATGTGTCTGAGAGTTTTCAGGGAGCCTATCTTCCAATCTATCTCTATACACAGAATAGCTTACTTTAGGTTCAGTTGCTGATGAATTATTTCATTAAACAACACAACAGGATAAGTAGCTTAAATAGCGATATTGCCTTCTGCTTGATACCAGGCCATATTGATATCACAGGTAATGACCGCATCAAGAAGGTCATCAACTATAGAAAACACATCAGTCACCTGAAATACCAAAATCCTATATACAGACCCGAAACCCAAAATCAGTAAATAGATTAGAGAGGATTGGCAGAACCTATGGAACTCCTGCCCAAACGATAAATTGTTCAAAATTAAACCAACTATATATTCCATATTAAAATACTACTGTTGTACGCTCCGGCCTTCTTCAAGTGTTTGGAATGTCGAACTGAATCCTTTATTTCGCACACTGGGGTAGACTGTTCTTGTTCCACGTGCCACATTTTAATGGATGTCAGCTGTCAATTATCTCCGGTTAATTCCCCTGTCCAAGTTCTCCACTGCTTTAACCGGGTATTGAACTAACACTCTTTGGGTCCTGTCACTGGATCTAACTAACGCCGTGTGAGTTCAATACACGGTTAAGGCAGTGGAGAACTTGGAGAGTTGGGAATTAACAGGAGATAACTGACAACTGACATCCATTAAAACACGGCACGTGGAACATAGAACAGTTTACCCCAGTGAGCGAAATAAAGGGTTCAGTTCGACATTCTAACCACCTGAAAAAGGCCGGAGCATACAACGGCCGAAACGTTGTAAAAAATATATGGCGACAAATATGAAGACAACAGTCCGATAATGTAAATAGTGTATATAATACCTCATCACAGAAATATAGACAGATACTGAAATACTACCATAACCCATTCGTATAATCTAAAAAAGGAAGTTCCTCGGTATGTGAGACATGCCAGTCACCATAAAACAAACATTGATAAACTCCTGCAATTTTAATTAAAAGAAAAAAATTGTAGTTCCAACGAATGATTTATTTTTATGGAAATATTTCGACTAGCAATTGCCAGTCTTAGTCACTCCTTAATTTGAGTAAAAACATTGCAAAGAAGCTCGAAGCGCTTAGTGTACGCAAAATTTCAAATCATTTTAGTTCATACTCAGAAAGCCTTCCTCTAACTAAATTCCAAACTTTTTTTTTTCGTGTGGGCTCGAATGTTGGTGAGCTGATGACAGATTTAGCTGCAATTTTTATTCAATCTTCTTAAAATACTACCAAACAAGAAACTTAAAACAACGTTTTCAAAATACTGATTCAATTTACATGTTTCAGTTCCTAAGACAAATTAAATTGATTTCAAAAATATAATGAAAGAAAAGAAATAAACAATATAAATAAACAAATAGCAGTCTTACTATTTAAAACAATTTTTTTTTGACAATTTAAATACAAGATTTTATTTTAAAAAATTAAATTTCGGGATTAAATGTTCCAATGGGTTGATATGCTGTAAAACAAACTAAACCAAACTTATGTCACGTCTCCAAGTTCCAAGTTGCTATTTTTCATTACTTGCCTCTTACAATTAGTGTAAACAAACGGAGTTTAGTGTGTTGGCTACTTCGATAATTAATGTTTACGGTTACTTCCGAGAATATTTTATAATACATACATTAATGGTGGCAGAAAGAGTACATGCACAAAATAACACACCAGTTGAATTGCAATGCAAGATAACATTTATTAAAAAATAAACAAAAGGAAAGTTTAAGACAAGAGTTTCTTTTCCTAGAAGTAAATTACATACACAACAAAATGTTAATGAATATATATGAGCGTCACTTACTATATTGGTGAGTTTTAGCGCGAAGCGTTCACAGCCCTTTTGCTTCAGTATGAAAAGTTCATGTCACCTTGTTCGAAAGAGAGAAAAACCGGAAGAGAGAGCTATTGAAGGCTTTGCTTGTTTTTATACCCCAGAGATGCTGCTGAGAGTAGGTTTTAATAAGGCGCTGCCGGAACATTTAAATACGACCCCGTACGGAAGTTAGTCTTCATCCACCATATTCAGAACATATTGCCTGCTCAGATTTCTATTTGTAGAAATCTGTTAGTGAAAATAACTCAGTTCATTGCAAGTTTCCTAATGCTAGCTTGAGAAGCTTTTGAAATATACTAAGCAAAAAGAAAAAAAAATGCAATGATAGAATTTTGAAGTTGCTTGAAAGAGAACAAATAATAAACCGTAAAAAACAAAACAAAACACTAAACCATGTTTATTAATGCTGAAAAAGGAAAACATTGTCATTGAATTTTAATACTAGTCATAGAACTTTCCGTCTATAACAGAATACGAACTGAAATGATTCGACTCATTCGAGAGTTCACGGTCCTGTATAGCTTGGTTTAAGGTTCCAAGATCGCATTGTGTTCATTTGATAATGTCGTTATGCCGCCTTCTTTGCTGGTCCACGCAACCGTTTCGTTTTTCAGCAACCGCCTCTTCAGTGCATAGTTTTGATAATCCTAAACATTACAACTTAAGTGTATACTCATAATTAAACGGACAATTGTGGCTACATTAGTTATGCCCAGAAGGGCTTGTCAACTTTGTACAATCTGTTTGGTTATGAATCGCATGATGGGATTCTGGAAGATTTCCACTTTCTTAAGAATACCGTATATACTCGTGTAAAAGCCGACGTCATGTCTATGCGATCCGGAAATATTTTGCATGAATTGTAACCCCTCTTGTAACCTATGTTTTGTGCAACCGGTCAACGAAAATGTACGATATTTAACCTCTTCAAAAAAAAAAAAAAAAAAAAAATACCCCGTATACTGTGTCCGCCTATGTTTTTACTAATTATAATCATGAAAAAAGAAACTTGCACTATACCTGAGTATATAAGATAGCCCAGTTTACAAAATTCAGCCCGTATAGCAGTACAGAGGAAATATCTATTGTAGATATTAGCATTGATTTTGTAGGGAATACAAGAGGATGTCAGTAGGGATTTGTTTTCTTTTCCACCGGTGCCCAGACAACACCTACTCTATATTGACCAGGAACTGAACCTTAATTCGAAGATGAAATTTTGTGACCAAGATAAAAAAAAAAAATCATATACTGTTATATTGAAAAGTCCATGTACATTTAATTATAATCAGACACTTCCTCTGCATTCCTATGCACTGATAAATTTCTTGGCTCGGGTCAAGCAGCGATATTAGCAGCATAGTAGGTTTGAAAGGTAGTGACCACCACTTGAAATGTATTCTAATCTTTGGTATGATACCATAAACCTTCGAAGTACTTACAGTATTACAGTTCTAGAAAAATAATCATCTGAAGTGTAAGATCTACAGACCCACAGACATATATAAATTATTCACCAACATCATCTCAAATTGTGTCAAAAATGATATTGAGGCCCCTTTACCAGAATCACAATCAGCCTACAAACCTGAAAAGGAATAATCAAATAGATCATAGCCTTAGAATAAATCATTGAAAAGACCTTGGAATTTCAATAACCCTGTTTATATTGTTCTCATTGACTTTACAAATGCTTTTATATGATCAAATTACCTTGTTGAAATATTCATAAATAGAGAATATATGTAAACGTTTTTAAATCTCTCTATATCAAGCATAAAGCAGGGATCGAGGAAACCTCGAGATGCTGTAATGGTTAGCAAGCTTGTCTCTCTAAACTACGACTGAGTAGTGAGATCGATCCTCATTGGGTGCCCTATACTTTCAGCCTTCTGCCACATCTAAGCTACGCTTGGAAAATCGTTATAAAGCATGGATCGGCAACCTTTTAGAGAAAGCGGGTCAGGCACTTATGCACTGTTTCGAAGGAGGGTCATGATATCAAATTTACTATAATAAATTGCCTCGACTTCAGACCGCTCCGTCCAAAAAGCTGACTTGATCTGGAGGTTTAAAGACCCCCCACCCCCCAAAAAAACGAAATTAGTGTTATATTATTTGAATAAGGTTCCTTATTTAAATGCATGAATAAAAGTATAAAAACTAGCAGAATAAAAAAAAAATGTAATTTCCTTATTATGATTAAGTTGGTGGACCGGGTGAGAACCGGAATCTGGAGGTTGCCGACCTTTGATCTAAAGTATGAATCAAGACTAACATCGACATTTAGCGTCCTAAGCGGGGTTTTGGCACGTATGTTCTTAGAATTTATGAAATTTAGCCCTTTTCATGATATTTTACCTAAACGATTAACACATTTCCGATAAATGGAAACCGCTCTATTAATATAGTCACGCAAAAATACTTTATCTCACCTTGTAAACAAAATCGATAGAATTCACTTATGAGGCGGAAACAAATAATACTTTACCTTTCCTAATTATCATGTTACAGCGTAGTAGACAGCAGCCTAAAACTAAGTGTCCATCGCAAGTCAAATAATAAAAAAATAATCTCATAAACTTCTATTCTCACCATAACAACAAAATAAATCCGGAATTGCCATTAGATTCTATTTAAGAACAGTTAGAATCCATAGCCGTCAATATTTACGTGAAGAGAAAAACATTGAAAATAGATTTAAGCTCTTCCAATACCGTAAATATTTCATATTCAATGCGAAACAAAAGTTTGGTAAAATATTTGAAAACAGAAGCGTTGACCTTTCTGACGAACTAAACGAATCCAAAATCTACCAACTATATCAAAGCTACAATTGAAAAGAATATATCTAAACGTAACCTAAAATTTGCAACAGCTACTTCTAAAAAAATAAAAGACATAATTAATACAAAAACAAAACAATAAACTAAAACCTGAATGAGGAATTTACTCTCTAACTCGTAACAATTGCCACAATGAATACATAGGATAAAACGTCAAGGAATTTAAATAAAAGATTATACATAAGTTACAGCGGATCGCCAGTGTTCTTAAAGAATAGAAAATACAGAGGAGAATTTCCAATGAACAGGAAGCAAAAAGGAGCAAAGCATTTATTGTAGAATTTAGAGAGAACACGGTCGAGTTCAGGAACATTCCTTAAATAATATTTCAGGGATACAGTCAAGACCCCAGGCTTCGAGTGGATTCAGTTAAGAGATGATAGCAGAAACCGTAGATGAAGTTATATGCATATCATTCAACAGAAACTCAGTTCTAAGTGGAAAGTTTGGCAAAGATATTCTAGTTGAGTCAACAGTAAAATATGAAGAAAATTTACGAGTAAAACATTCTTCTTTATCAGTAGAAAATGTTAACACTTCACATTGAGTGAAGAGAGGAGAGATAGAAGACTTATTTTTTTTTATTTAAGATACTATTACAGAACCGCCAGTATTCACGAGAGGCTATACGGTGCCTCATTCTATCATCAAAGATTTCGCCTATTTGAGGACATGTTTACAATTATTACGAGCAGAGACAAATAGGCGTCTGTTGGAATTGGAATTATCACGCTGGTACACTCGAAAAAAAAAAGTGATTCCTGTGGGCTATAGCGGCCGAGCAGGTCGGTGTGAACCAAGGAGAAGTATGTGGTTTCATTTGGTAATTCCGAGAAGGTTGCAAAAGCGTCGATACAGATGTAACCTAAGAAGTAACCTCTGCGGCAAAATTCTCAATAGGAAGGTTAAGAATATCAATCCAAGGGTTATCTCGAAGAAAGCAATGAAGAGAATCTGAATTGGTGCACTGATAACAGTCTTGCGAATAGGAGGTTCCTTTCTATTAGACGACTAAAAAGAAATATCAACATATACTATTGGGTGATCAGAATTCCTAAGAGGACAGAGTTGTGTTGCTCAACAAGAACAAAGAGAGGAGGCAAGGAACAAATCAAGTAAAGAAGCACGTTGGCCAGTTTTATTAGGGAAGCGAGTAGGGAGATACACTATTTGACTAAGAGACTGAGCAACGGAAACATTACAACGTCAGTAACATTAGAATGCCTAAGCCACTTGATCCCATGTGCATTAAAATGACCAAACAAAAATTTTGAGAGAGAGAGAGAGAGAGAGAGAGAGAGAGAGAGAGAGAGAGAGTTTGTCTAATAAATAACAGTTTTAAGCGGAAGGAGAAAGCTAAAGGAAAAAGATAATAGCTAACAAAGTGCAATAAAGAAATTCGAAAGAAAATGAAAGAATAATCTGTGGACTCAAGTGAAAATTTCCTTGTAACTGGAAGATTTTCCTGGATATAAAAACCAAGATCATGCATATGTATCCTAGAATCTTTTTAAGAAATAGGGAAAGACAGAATTCATTGGTAGCGACAGAAGAATTTAAATTAGTTTTGCAAAGTGCGAAGAAATCTGGAGAACGTATCAAGAGAAAAGATCCTACACTACAGAAATTGGAACGTATTACATAAATATTGAAGAAAGAATGGTTGATGCGGGGGTGGGGTGGTAAAAGATTTAATGTTACTGGTTTACTCGTATTTCTTTTTATTGTATCTGTCATAAGAAGATTTTGCTTTAAAAAGAAAAATGCCCAAATAGTTACATAATGTTTTATTAACTTTGTTACTTTCCTTTTTATGTTTATCGTATGTTTTACAAGGGAAGCCTTCTTTACTTCACTTTAAGTATGCAGTTTTCGTTACTAATTAAACAGACTTGTCCACTCGTTAAAAATAGAGAAACATTTTTTGCAGATTATCATTCACTACACCATCTTCAAACCCCAACATTCGTCAGAATCGAAAATATTGAACTGTTTTAAAAAATATTTTTATTAAGTTATTGGGTTTAGCTGTTACATACAAATGACAAGTTTGAAATTGTGCTTACATCATTGACATCTGCTTATTTTATTTTAATTTTTTGAATTTTTGAAAGTATTTAAAAATTTAAAAATAATCTTGCGTGATTTTTTCGGAAGCACATACAAAAACATTGGTGGATAAAAATTATTTATCTTCAATGAAGAATAAACGGATATATATTTTTATTGATTTATGTAAAATTTTTGTTCTTTTATTAAAAGTGTGTGTATCCGTGTGTTTTTTACTTGAAACAAATATTTTTATAAAATAAAAGTTCTGTAGAACAGCTAAATTCAGATAACAGTAAAAAGTTAGCGATCGATTTTAGACCGCCTCATTATTATGAGCATAAGCCCATCTTCTAAAGTAATGAAAAAATCAATATTTTTCGACACTGACAAATGTTGCACATTGAACAAGGGCTAATGAACGTTAATGCACACAAATTGTTTACATTTTTTTTCCCTTTTTCTTAATGAGTCGGTCAGTCTATTTAGGTTGTTGACCAGGCCCATTCTGACTATTGTCACAAGCAAGGTATTTGAAAAATACCATTTATACTTTACATTTCCAGTTTTACGCTCCTGAAATGTTTTAAACGACATTCGGTAGAAATGGAAGAAAACAGACGATTTTGATAAAAGAATACTTGCGAGAAACGATGCTACGAAATAAACATGATACAGAAAATAGCATTAATGGCGTTCTCTTTCAATGAAATGGTTTAAACTCACAATATCCCCAAGCACAAAGAAAATTACAGATTCATGAATATTAATTTGCATAAATCGAGATAACAAACCAAATTTATTCTGAAGCTGCAGATACAAAGACGTGAAAACTGATGAATTTTTCTTTTACCTTTTTCTTTTAAAATTTTACGAACTGATCAAAAGTTCTGGAAAAAAAAACACGCCTTTTCACATTTCTTTTAGTATTTCTATTTAATTAGATAATTTTATTAGAACTTGGAATGTTTACAAGTTTGGGATATAATAATAATAATAATAATAATAATAATAATAATAATAATAATGATGATGATGATGATGATGCTAACATCTTAAACATAAATGCTCTCCCATAGCCATGGATGCCTTGTTTGATGAAAACATCTTAACACAAGAATTTTGACAACATCTCAAATTATAGGAGCCTGGAAATACAAATTGTAAGATTGTGGCATTTAAGCAAAACCACGATTCCAATAATAATAAGAGCACTAGGAATTCAAAAGAAAACTGATACTCACCTTAAGAAAATTCCACGAAACCCCGTTCCTATTTGAGGTAGAAAAAATTGTGCCAATGAACACTGCTCACATAATCAGAAAAGAAATCATCCAATGTAACATGATCAATAATTTTTCAAGAAAGGGCTTTATCTATGTAAAATACGTGTGTGTGTGTGTGTTTTAATTGGTCAGTGGAAAATGTCATGATGTCATTTTTGACCTTAGGTTTCTGAGTTGGTCTCGGAAAGAAATGTGTACGCGCCAGTAATCAAAGGAAATAATAATAATAATAAAAAATAATAATAATAATAATAATAATATTGTACGGATATTTGTACCCTCGGGTCATTTGGTTAAGGAGCTGTTCTCCCACTCAGTAATAATAAAATGTAATCATCAACAGAATAAAAACAAAAGATAATTGAGAAAGTATAAAGTGTTGATATCCGCTTTTTACGATTCACTCAAGACAGAAAACAAGAGTCATACCGTCAATAGGTATTGAATAAAAGAAAGGAGTTTAGACATCAGCAACATTGATGAAAATAAGCTTGAAAGTTTAATAAAAGTTATTATGCAAGATAAAAGATGAACAGAAGCAGAAATAAATGGAATAAAGCGAAACATATCTCAGCTCAATGGAATGACTGCAATTGAAATAGGATAATAAACGGAAGCGGAAGTCTTTACGAAAATGTAAAGATTCGAATGGCAAATTCCGTACAGTAAAGAGATGAAATCAATTAAATATTTGAAAGTTATAATAATTTATTAAGATCAGAAAGCGTCGATATCAATAGCCATAAAGGGATTTTCAGTGAAGAGGAAGAGGAAGATATTCAGAAAGATCATGTGGATAGGATAAATCACAGAAGGGAAGACATATTGAATGAATTTGTAAAGGTAAAACACAGGAATATGGAAGATAGGGAATCTCTTACAAAAATTGTCATGAACGATCAAAACAAAAGAATATAACAATAGAAAATATCGACAGAGAATACATTCTTAATGAAATGATACTTGCCTTGACTAAACTTAATGAAATTAAATATGCATCAGAAAAATAATCGAATCGAAATTCATTGCAGGCAACAAAAAAAAAAAAGAAAAAGAAAAAAAAACAAAGAAAATGTAACTTGCCTAAAAAGCCAGATTAGAAAATTACAATTAAAAAGAGAAATAAAATTTATAAGAGAATTATCATTACCGAGTTTCGAAATTGTGAAAATGCTCGTAGCAGAAAAAAAAAACCAGAAAAGTTTTTGTCTCCGCCAAGCAAGGTAATAAGGCCACTAAGACGCAAGGGAGTTACTGAGAGTTAAATAAAAAGAGAATACTATAGTGAGATGAAAGGACAACAGAAGAACAGAATCCAGGAAGAAAGAAAAATGGCGATGATGTTGTATTTAACTTTTTCAAGGTCATAGGTGGCAGTGAAGCAAGAAAACGGATGGAAATTCAAAAAGCGAGAAATGCGAGACACTAATAGAATAATACCGACGGTGAAGATGAACTATTTCAACACTAAAACGATGAGACCTCCTAGTACATTCAAATTCATGCGGACAAAGAACCAAGGGGAACATTAGAACAGTTGCCAATAAAATAACTATAGAAAAGACACAGGGAAGCTACGTCTCAGTGGTGGGAAAGTGACTGAAGTCGACATGCCAGCTCAGAAGGAATAACATTACCAACTCTTTGGATTTTGTAGAGAAAATCACCAAATGCACTGGTAGATTTATAAACCTTCAAGAAGAGTTCTGTCGAGAGAAATTGTTTGGCATGACACAGTGAACCACCTTTTCTAGAAGCAGACCTAGCAATTGATTCAATAAAATCATTTCACTTCATGTCACTGGAAACATGAGACCAAAAAGACTCTTCTAGAGTTTATCACCAAGGATGCTGACGAAAGGAAAAAAAAAGAAGTTCTTTACGACGACTAAAAGATAGTAGTTTCGTTTTAGAAGCATTAAAATTGACAAACCATTTCTTGCCCCAGTTAACAATTGATTGGAAGTCATTTTGAACACCAGCTGCCAGTTTTACTTCATTGCACCTATCGAATATAAAAGGAATTATTAAAACAGAAAAATACAGTAAATAACTTATAGGATATGAATATATAAGAAGAGGTAGGTTAGGTTGTTGCGTTTTATGGATTATCAACACTTGCTGTGTTATTTAATGGGGAAATCCGTTTTTGGTCATTTTACTTGTACTTTTAAATAAACATTGGTTAGGATTTTACTGGAGTCGATTGGTAAACATTGGGCTTGTTTATACTTGAGTCTATAGGTAAGCATTTAGTGATATTTACACTTGAGTCTATAGGCAAATAGTGATGATATTCCTACACGCGTCTATAGGTCGGATTTAAGCTTTAGCCTGTTTGTAAACATTAGCCGGGTTTATAATTAAATCAACAGCTAAATATTGAACGGCTTCATAAGTATATAAGTAAACGTTAGTCGTGCTGCTATCTGAGTCTATAGGTAAACATTGGTCGCATTCGAACGAGTGTACAGGTAAACATTGGTCATATTCATACTTGAGTCTACACGTAAACATTGATCGAGTTCGTACTTGAGTCTATAGGTAAACATTAGTCGTATTCGGACTTGAGACTACAGAAAAACCTTGATCGAATTCGTACATGAATCTATAGGTAAACATTGGTCGTATTCGGACTAGAATCTATAGAGAAACATTGAGCGAATTCGTACTTGAGTTTATAGTTAAACATTGTTCGGATTCGGACTTGAGTCTATAGAGAAACATCGACTGAATTCTTACTTGAGTCTATAGTTAAACATTGTTCGGATTCGGACTTGAGTCTACAGGTAACCATTGATCTAATTCGTACTTGAGTCTACAGCTAAGATTGGCCTCCTTCGTATGTGTCTACAGGGAAACATCTAATTTGTACTTAAGTCTAGTTGTAAATAATGGTCATGTTTACACTTAGGTTAATGTGTGAAAGCATCCACTAGAAAGCTGGTATCTTTGAGTCGGTGTATTCATGTAATAAAATCGGCGTATTTTAGACCACGTCCACAAGCTAAGATATGAAAAGTTAATAAAATTCTTTAATCAGAAATTGATATTTCAGACAGAATCAGAAACAATTCTATCTAGAATCATAAAGATGGTAATAAATCGAAGTGCCGACTGGGGATAGATTGAAGAAATTCTAGATGAATGTCTGCAG